GTATTTTATTTTAACTTATTGCAGCTTTATTTGACATAATAAAATAAGTTTATACAAAAACATAAATGTTAATAGAACTGACTTTCAACAAATGATTAACTATTAATAGCTCGAGAATGTTATCAAATAAGTCAGCAGATTTGCATGATCTTACAGACCTGACCTGACAAGTAAATATTAACAAAATAATATACAATAATTACTTAACTATATACAAAACACATAAAATGATAACTAATCGAATAATCAGTCAATCAGTTAAATACTAAAAGAGACTAAAAACGGACGCTATTATTAAACTTTAGGACCCATGTCAAGATAGCAATTTTTCTCAATTAATTAAAAATAATATTGCTATATCACAGCAATCGTAACGTTTCCTCCATTTTAAGTCTTACGTCCAATTAATTTTTGAATTATTACTTATTTACACATTTTTTTTATAATTAATAATATGGGTGATGCCAAGTCAGTAACAATTGTATTTTTATAGTCAAGACAATATTAACAGGAAATAAGATTAAATTATTTTGTTTTGAAATATTTTTATGAATCATTCAGTGATTGAGGCCGGCTCTTAAATACCACTAAAACGGAATTTAAAATATATTATGCAATATAAAATAAAGCTTTGGTACTTTAACTGCGAAAACATAAGTTAACTTTCCCAGAAACAATTAATTTAGGTGAAAGTTCGTTCTTCCGCAAATATTTCTTGGTATATTTACAATTTCTATTAAACAAGTTTATAGCTAATTATTATTTACACAAAAACAAATGTAACATTATTCAGATGAATTATTTCTAACATAAAACGCTCGACGGGATAATAATTAAGATGTCCCACTTTATTTGCTTTTTTAAGATATGTAATATTTTCTTTATAGAATTAATGTAATAAATAATGTTTGCAAGCCGTTTCGAATATATTTTGGTTATTATATATTCTTTCTGCTGTTATTGTGCGGCGAGTAAACTCTATTGTAGTGCTAGCCATATTTTGAAAAGTTCCTGTTAAATTGATGCCAACTTCTAGATAATGGTGATAGGACCAACACCAAATTTTAAATTTATTAAGGTTGTACTTTGAGAGGTTGAGGTTAAGAATGAATTAAACATACATTCAAGTAGTATAAAATAGCTGTTATTTCGATCTTGGAGTTTATATATATGGATATTTTGTTTAGTTTGTTGGTTGGTTTCGAGTTAATATAAACTGTATAGAATCGTTTGTTACAAAAACATTTCTAGAATTAATTATCCTCTAAAGAAATGTCCCCCTAAATTTGGGGGGGAATACCCAAAGTTGGCAACACTGTCTAGATTTGGCAGTTATTGTGTGTAAAATGTCAAACTCAATTATTTTTCACGATAATTGTAAAACAGCCAGAATGTGTAACAGTTATAATGTAACAATAGGTTTATATTGTGATCAAGTTACCAGCAACAAAATACTTTTGTATAGAGCCCCGCATCATGTTTCAGTTTATATTTTGTTTCATTGAATGGTGTTGTAAATCAACATATGCCGCTTACATAATTGGTATAATTATAATATTGACGCAAAATAGCGGGGTTTGTTATTGTTGAAGATTCGATATATGAAATGTATACCCATATTTGTGAAGATCAAACTTTTTTTTGCGCAACTTTATTGTTACGCGCTATTTCTGTACCATCATACATTTTATATATTAAATTATAAGGTTGATATTTTTATTGATTTAATCCATGATTATTATCAATCATATGTACTAGTTATCAATATATTATTTTTTCAATAACGGTTAAAGGTATTTATTTCTTACACCGGATCTCACACTATTACATCTACATGTCTTAATTTACTTTTTCCCGGAGCGTTTACCGCGCGTTCCCCGGGCGGTTTTTCTTCGTCATATATGTATAGGGACGTGAAGTAAGAGGGCGTCGCGTCGGGGGAATTCTAGCGAGCACATTTCGCACTTGTATGGTCCATCCACGTCTGCGTCTTCTGGTGAACCGGGCGAAGGGGGAGGAGAAGGGGAATTCCTCGGTTGGGGCGAAGGGGAACCGGCGATAGCCCGTAAGTCGTCGGCTGGGTGACGAGGCGGTCGGCGAGTTCGAACCTGTATAAAAATATATTACTTAGTTTAGCTCCTGAAGTTAATATATATATAGCTAATCCATAGATCCCATTTTATGAAACTATTTAAATATTAGTCTATCTGTTGTAATATTTTTTTTAATAAAGTCGGCGTTCGGTTAGGGGAGCAGACATAATTGAAATGATATATATTATATAGATTATCGTAGATCAATATAACTAGCTTTTATAGATTACCTGTTTAAATCTATAGTTTGTCTATACTCCAGCTGTTTAACTTCTTTGTTAAGGCTGAACTTTTCGACTTACTATTTTAACTTTGCGATGTGAGTGTGAATTAACCCCCACAAAAGTTTTTGGGATAGAATCTTTTTATACGGATAGAATCCCAATTTATTAGATTTGATTCGTTATACAACTAGTTAATTAAACTCTTGTGCCTTACAACTAAAAACCTCGTCATGTTGGCTCAGGCTTTTCCTCGAAGCAAATAACGAAATACCCTTTTTTAATCTCGATATTCTGTTTTACGTCCCAACACAATCTCATCAACGTTATTAAGTCACATATGAAACGAGCTTACGTAATTAACACCATACCTGTTTAGTCCTAGCCCTGGTCTCCTCGGAGGTGTGGATCATGCGTGGGCGTGGTGCGGGTGCCACGGCTGCCCGTCGCCTTCTGCGGGGCGCGGGTGGTGGAGTGGGGGGCGTCGGGGAGGGGGATTGGGGTACGGGGACGCGGGGGGTGACCCGTCCCACTCGGCAGGCGCCTCAGTCTTCACTTTACGACGCCGCTTGTATTTGCGCGGACCGGACTGGAATCACAGTTAATTAATGTAAAACAAAGTTGCCATTTAGGCCTATAAATTAGGTAACATATTTTAATGCGGTTTTTATCCATCCATTGATTTTATTCATTCAACAATTTATGTGTATATGTCTGTATACATATATTATTTATCTTAACACGTGCTTGTGAACGTGTGGTACTTCTAGTGACTGTTCGTGTTTGAACTTTTATATGGTGATAAATAAAAATGAATCGCATAGTATGTTGCTAGGCGTAAAACTCGAAAACCAATTCGAGTAATTTTTTTTTATATTTAGCATTAAGGGTTATTCAGGAAAAGCGAACAGTCTCTATAGGGTAGCAAAGCTAAATGTTCCAAATATTGGTATGTAGCTATTAAATAGGTACGCTAAGTAAAAAAAATCGTATTAAGGCGAAACGAAGTTCGCGGGGGGTAGATAGTTATATATAACCACTTTACACGTGCAATCGATCACCTGTTTGTGTTATCTTCTAACAATAAATAGTATAGTGTAAGTACATGGTTCTATTTTGCGCGCTGATGATAAGCGTTTGCTAATTATTATGACATTATGTCAAGTGAAGCATGCAACGATTGTAGTTCTTTACAATTTCCTTGTAAATCACAAACATGGCATGGTTAATAGAGTCTATGTACTAAGTTACCTTAATATTTAAGAAATCAGGAAAATTTACAGTTAGTGCGTTGCGTGCGTAGAGCAGGCAAAACGAACTGTTCTTGCCTATTACTATAGTGACCACTATGAATAAATAAATTTTGATTGATCATAATTGAACTAATTTCATAAATTAAAAGACAACTGTTATACTTGACTTTACCTGCGGTTGCCTCTTCATAGCGGTGTTTTCATCACAGTGCTGTATGAGATGTTGCACCAGCTCCGCACTCGTTAACATTGGTCGACCACAAACTGCGCATGAGTACTGGTATCCGCCTATTATAGTGCAAGGTATCGGTGTAATATGCATATTATCGTAACAGTACAAGGAAAATGTAAATAACTAAAAACCCTTCTTTCTAATACAAAAAAATTGGAGATAAAATTGGTCGATAAATTTAATACCATTGCAATTTCATTCATTCTAGATAACGGTCAAAAATGGCCGCGCATTGACGAGCTTGTTCGGTAGGATTGAAAGAATACCTACGACCGGGACGTAAATATTATCATAAGGCCGTTCATAAAAACGTTCGCATACAAGGGCAGGGGAGGGGTCTGGCTGAGTGTGACAAGATGTGACAAGGAGGGACGGGGGGTATACGGCAACGTGACGTTTGCCGTTTATCATTATTAGAAAATCCTTGGACTTCTGAATAATAGATATATTATTTATTATTTATATGTTATGAATTTTAGTGTGACGTATTTTAGGAACGGCCCCCATGGTCTTTCGTTGTACTTACAAATTGTCAATGGACTGTATATTGATTGGATATGAAAATTCCATTTTTTTTTATTTAAGTTACTTATTAGGGTAAAGAACAAATGACGAACGTAATTCATCTTAATTTTGTAATATAAAATATATGATATCCAAATTTTATTTGTTTTAATGATTTATATAACTGTGAAAGATTTTTTTTGAACAGTTTTTAGGGGGCAAACGGGTAGTAGGCTCATCTGATGTTAAGTGATACCGTCGACCCTGGACAATCTCAATACCAGAAAGCACGCGAGTGCGTTCTGGTATTTAATTCAGAAATAAAGCAACATCATTAGGAAAATGTATGAATAACATAATTTTTATGATTCTAAAATAAATCTAAATAATTTCTAAAATATGAATAAGCGTTCAAGTATTACGTCACGCAGTATTTGGAGCTAATTGACCCCCCTCCATGTAACGCGCCGTAACGTTTTTCTGTACAGTACTGTACCCCAGTATAGTAAAACGTTTCGTGACCACCTAGTGACTCTTTATACCTAAAAGTTACCATTATGTGGTGTAAAGTACTGGAAAGACGAAAATAATATTAACAATAACGCGTAATTGAATCCCCGCCCCGCGTCGTAACGTTTTACAAAAGGACCCCCCCACCCTCAAAATTCGTTACGTAATACTTGAAAACTCCCTAACATACCTATACAATATACATATAGTCCATTATTTTAGATTTATATGCTTTCTTAGCACAAATAAATGTAAATATTATATTAAAATTACCATTCGCCCGTCGATCAGGTGCAGAGTGATGCGATCTCACATGTTCCCTTAATACCACTCGCTGGTTGAAAGCTCGAGGACATACTGCGCATGCGTACGGTTTTTCACCTGATGAATAAAATAAATCAGTGGCGCTACAACCTCTTTAGGTCTTGGCCTCAGATGTCTGAATCTGTTTCATGATCATTTTTAAATCTAATAGGCAAGAAGGTGATCAGCCTCCAGTGCCTGACACACGCCGTCGACTTTTTATGTCTAAGACATGTCGGTTTCCTCACGATGTTTTCCTTCACCGTTCGAGCAAATGTTAAATGCGCACATAGAAAGTCCATTGGTGCACAGCCGGGGATCCAACCTACGACCTCAGGTATGAGAATCGCACACCGAAGGCCAACACTCCTCACCTAATGTCATATTGAAATGAAACTTCTTTAACGGATCAGCGTTGAGCGAATAGCTATAGCTTGCACCTCTTGAGCCGGGCTACCAACCAACCCTAGGGTCGTTAGGAAACACAAAGGCGTCTGTCAGGCACAGAAGGCTGCCCTACTTGCTTATTAAGATGAAACAAATGAACACAGATGGACAGAAATCTAAGGCCAAGGCCACAACCATTTTAATTTAACGGATATAAATATATAAACCATTTTAATAAACGCAGCATTTTTTAAATACAAATTATACTAGCGGACAGACGTTGTCCTGTACACACATCTTAAATAAATAAAAGATCATCGCTTGAACACACAAAAAATTTTATCGCAATCGGTCCGGCCGTTTAGGTGGAGTTAGAGGACACACCCACAGAAGATTCGTATAAATATATATTAACATTATTTAGATAATGTTTCGAGTGTTTTACAGCAATCTTGGTTAGACAAATCAAGTTGACAGATAACTATTCAATGTGATTAGTCTTTTGAAATGTATCAACGTCATAAACTGGAATGTAAATAGCATTGCTATCCTTAAATATAAAAAATTCAGTTCCCTTGTTTTTCAGTATGTCTTTGGATTGGACCTTCAATAAATGCAATACTCACCCGTGTGTATACGTTCGTGTTTTCTTAATGTACCGCCATCAGCGAAGGCCTTCCAACAAAATCGGCACGCGTACGGCCGTTCGCCCGTATGAATGCGCACGTGGATCTGCTGGGAACTTCGTGAACCGAACACTTTGCCTAAAAATTGCTTCAATTATAGTACACCAACATATGATATTTTAAAACTAATTATATATTACAGCTTAGATCACAGACGTTTCACGTTATTCTTAAAGTTATACTTCTTTTGGCGCGTTAGGGAAAAATGATGAAAGAAAAATTTTACGATGCACGCACACCGTCACAACAAATAGATACCCTGAATATCTGCTCAAACGTCGGTAAAACAGTCTGGGCCGCTGGTTGGCGCTTGCTCTGTTTTATCGATAAGTTGCGTGGAGCTTTCAGAGTCGTGTTTATTTAAACTAAAATAATGATTTCTATACGATAAAACCCGTTCCCATGTGATAAAAAACATAGTGTTTATTGTAAAATATCATGATTACTACATATTATATCGTTTCGATTGGAAGTGACCAATAAAATGTATATGAAAAATGCAATTCGAAGAGGGAGACGTCGCTCGAAGAAAATTATTTTGCCAACGTAACTTCTAATGCGTGTACATAAGTACACACACGTTTTTTTTATTAATTTCTTATTCAAAATTGTATACTTCTTTCTTATTTACTTCTTACATGCATTCATGGTTTTATGAAATTACAATCTCTTACCGCATTCTCTACATGGAAACTGCCTCAAATTACTGCCTGACGCATTCCGGCCTTTTGCCATTTTCTTAAACCTGCAACAATTTAGCAAAAAATATTAATAGTTTATTTTATTTTATATTATATTGTAAGCAGAAAAACAGAATAGTGAAGTTCGTCAATGGTGATTCATGCCCGACTTCGCGCTACAAGCCTCAATTTTGATGTACACACAGCGAGCCGCGAACAGACGGGTGCATCACTCCACATTCATGCGGTTCGTATTTTTCATATAGTTAAAATTGAGTATAAGGATAAATACACGACATTATAGGTGTGTTCCAAAATTGTTAGTTTTTTTAATAATAATACTAGCAGACCGGCCAAGCGTTGCTGTGGCTAAGGTTTATGTTATATAACATAGTAGCAAACTATTCAAGGGAAACGGTAGGAGAACACCAGTCATGGGGACCACCATGCTTTTTTGGTGGTTATGCAATTAAATTGTAGGTTATATGAAACGTTGGTACTTTCAACACAGCGCCATCTGTTAGAATTGTGACTATCAAATAATAAACAAATATTTTGCAATAAAATAATATTGCGGGTATAAATTGATATGTAAGTTATCCTATCTTTTAAGTTGGATCAAACTACACACGGTGTGCAAATTTGATTGATATCGGTTAAGTAGTTTAGGAGTCCATAGCGGACAAACAACGTGACACGTAATTTATATATATATTAATATAATAATAATTATTATTATTTTATTAAACACGTATCTCAGGCTCCCAATGTAGTGAACTGTATTTAAGGAGCACGTGACTTCCCAGTTACATTTATTATGTATTAATACAATTTCAATAAATACAAAATTAAATCAATTTATGATAATGTAAGGTGCCAAATTAACATATGATGAATTGTTTTCCTTTACCTAGATGAAGAATTAGGCCTATGCCGTTCTGCATGTCTTTCAGCGTGGGCCAATAGCGTAAGAGCGTCGGGGCAACTCTCGCCGCACACGTCACACGTGTGTTCTTGCTCCCACGTGCTGCTTGTGCTGTCGTGACGCTTGTAGCTGCCAATCATACGTTAATTATCTATATGGCGTGGTATATAGATCGATAGCCCACCTCAAGATTCTTCAAAAAATAGGTCTATTTCGGCTTTCAAGCACGTTTTAAATCTCGTAAGCGTTTGTTACAAATTTTTCGGGATCTAAGTCATATAGAGGCGACCCTTTGACTCCAACTTAGGGAACACTTTTCCAAGTCACATCAAATTCAGTTCAGTAGTTTTTGAGATATCCAAATATTTCTAACGACATGTACAATATATAAAAAGAAAGTTGTTACATTAATAGTACCTATGGGCAGCAGTGACGTGTCTCCTCAACAAATCAGCGCGTTGGAAGGCAACTCCACAATCCTGACAGAAGAGTTCCGGTCCACGGACCGTATCATATACCATGCCATGACGTATACTATGGTCACTGCCGCTGTGGGCTAGTGGTGATAGCCGGAAGTCCATATCGTCTCCTGGAAAAACAAATTCTTGATATCAATGTAAAAGTTGGTAGTTTTTGGTCAGAAACACATTTTTATAATAATCAAAATACTTTTAAGAAATTCTAGAACTATGTAACCTATGTAAAACCATTTCAAAATTGCAAACTCTTTTATAAAATTTATCTAGAAAAATATTTCTAATAATATGACTTCATATTAGAGATATGACATTGTTATTGTTAATTATAATAGACTAGAAAACTTACTAAAAAAATTAAACAATGTATGATAATTGGTAAAAAAAAATCACAATCTTATAGATTATGTTTTAACGACTCAATTGACACAAGGCAGACTTTGTTGAGGGACCTTACATAATTCTAAAATTACAATTTTCGGCGTCGGGATGTGACGACCCCATCGCCCACTGGTGAAATAACCTGTAAAAGAGGTTATTTCACAAGTGCAATCAGTCAACCCCCCATCCTAGTGGGAGTGCCATGCTGCTGCTTTAGGGCTTCAGCCAAATGGGCAGGCACGACCGGGGCAGTACCACTGTCTCACAGAAAACCGGCGTGAAGTGATGCAATAAGTTCATCTTATTGTACTCGCGTTTCGTGCGGTGAGTGAGACTCCCGGAGCCCATCAATCCCCCCCCCCCCCCCCACCCCTCCAAAGTATGAAGATGCAGTTCAAACAGAGATTACCCCAGGGGGGTACCACACGTTTACGCTGTGGAGAATCCCCTTCTGGGCGTCCATCATCGGAACAATTGGTATTCGATGGTGGATGCACAGGCTGCCCTTCGTATTCTGGGGGGGGGGCAAAAACTGCTCTAAAAACTTATGTATTAATAGGTTTCGATCTCGGGGCAAACGGAAGCTTTTACCTAAGGCAACCCCTTCCACGCTCACGGTGGACTTTACAAATGTTAGGGGGCTGAAAACTAACCTAAACGCGGTTCACTTTTACTTAGAAACTGCGAAGCCGGCCTTATTCTTCCTTACTGAGACTCAGATATCCTCCCCGGCTGATACTTCTTACCTCTCCTACCCGGGGTACAAATTGAAACATTCATTTGTGCCGCGGGCGGGAGTTTGCGTGTACGTCAGGGAGGATATCTGTTCTCGTCGCCTCGGGACGCTTGAAGGAAGGGACCTATATAACCTCTGGCTGCGCGTAGACTGCGATGACCATCCGCGATTCTATGCGTGCCTGTATAGGTCCCATAGCGGTAATGACGAAACTAACCGACTCATAGAGCACATTCAAACGGCTACAGATTACCTGCTCGAAAGGGTTCCTACCGCTGAAATCGTGATACTTGGCGATTTTAACGCCCACTATGCCGATTGGCTTGGCTCTGATACCACCGATCACGCGGGAAGATCCTTTCACGACTTTGCTTTAGCCTACGACCTGACACAAATGGTCCCTGCGATTACGCGAATACCAGATGTGGATGGTCATAAACCCTCTTTGTTGGATCTTCTGCTGACTTCACATCCGGAGAACTATCAAGTCTCTGTTGACCCGCCATTGGGTTCATCAGATCATTGTGTGGTCCGGAGTATTGTGCCTTCTACGCGCCCTTCACGGCCCCGCTTTTTGGGTTGTCGCCGTATTTGGCACTACAAGTCAGCAGATTGGGACGGGATGCGGTCTTTCTTTGCGTCCTACCCTTGGGGGCCTATGTGCTTTTCGTCGGAAGCTCCAGATTCCGTCGCTGCCTCTGTCGCCGAAGTGGTTCTGCAGGGCATGGAACTCTTTATTCCATTTTCTGCGGTGCCGATCGGTGGCAAGTCTCAGCCCTGGTTTAAACGTTCTTGCAAGGCGGCCTCGTGTCGAAAGCGAGAATGCTTTAAGGCATGGGCGGAAGCGGCGAAATCTCGTGATGCCAATACCAGCGAACTTAAAAAAGCATATAACTCAGCCTCCAGGTCCTTCAAACGGGAAATCACTAAGGCAAAGTCAGAGCACATTGCCAGATTTGGCGAGAGATTGGCCCAACTCCCTTCAGGGACTCGAGCCTTCTGGTCTCTCGCCAAAGCTGTCCAAGGGAATTTTTGTCAGCCCGCTATTCCACCACTGCACAGGGAGGATGACTCGCTGGCCCACACTGCGAAGGAGAAGGCCGACCTTTTAGGCTGTCTCTTCGATGCCGGAAATCACATTCCGGCAACGTGCTGTCCGCAAAGCACTATCTTCCTTGGACATTCATAAGTCGAGCGGGCCGGATGGTATCCCCCCAATTGTGCTGCGTACTTGTGCTCCTGAGTTGGCTCCGGTCTTAACGCGCCTTTTCCGGTACCTGTACTCGCTTGGCACTGTCCCGAAGTGCTGGAAAACCGCTTCGATACATCCGATCCCTAAAAAAGGCGATCGCTCTGATCCGTCCAACTATCGCCCAATAGCCATAACCTCCTTGTTCTCCAAAATAATGGAATCCATTGTTAACTGCCAGCTCTTGAGGTATCTAGAGGGCCACCAGCTGATTAGCGATTATCAGTACGGCTTTCGTCGTGGTCGTTCGGCTGGTGACCTTCTTGTATACCTTACACATAGATGGGCAGAGGCAATTGAGTCCAAGGGGGAGGCGCTGGCGGTTAGTTTGGACATAGCGAAAGCCTTCGATCGGGTGTGGCACAGAGCACTGCTCTCGAAGCTACCAGCCTATGGGCTACCCGAGAAATTATGCGATTGGATCTCCAGCTTTCTGGCCGATCGGAGCATCAAGGTCGTCATCGACGGAGCATGCTCCGACCTTAAACCCGTGAACGCGGGGGTCCCACAAGGCTGTGTTCTATCCCCGACCCTGTTTCTTCTGCATATCAATGATATGTTGCAACTTAGCAACATTCATTGCTATGCGGATGACAGCACTGGGGATACTTTTTACACTGGCCGGGCAGGTATTTCTCGGGCAGTTGTCGATGAGTACCGGAACAAACTTGTGTCTGAAGTCGAAACTCTACTACGTGGAGTCTCAGACTGGGGCAGACTAAACCTAGTCCAATTTAACCCCAAGAAGACACAAGTTTGCGCGTTTTCCGCTAAAAAAAACACCCTTTGTCGCTACTCCTCTTTTCGAAAACACTCTTCTTAAAGCCACAGCCAGCATTGGAATACTTGGCGTTGACATATCGAACGACGTTCAGTTTCGCGGTCACTTGGAGGGAAAGGCTAAATTAGCCTCCAAAAAGCTTGGTGTGCTCAGCAAGGCGAGACGGTACTTCACTCCGGGCCACCGCATGCACCGCACCGCATATTAAGCGCAAATTCGGCCCCACATGGAGTACTGCTCTCACCTCTGGGCGGGGGCTCCCCAGTACCAGCTCCTTCCACTTGACCGTATTCAACGCAGAGCGGTTCGAATCGTCGATGACCAATCCCTTTCCGAGCGGCTTGATCCTTTGGCGTTGCGTAGAGATGTGGGGTCACTCTGCATCTTCTACCGCATTTACCATGGAGAGTGTTCAGAGGAGTTGTTCGGATTAATACCTGCAGCTGAGTTTCGTCATCGGACGTCGAGGCAGAGTACGAAATTCCACCCGTATCACCTCGACGTCCGCCGTTCCACAACTGAGCGTTTTTCAAGGCAGTTTTTGCCGCGCACCACCACTTTGTGGAACCAGCTGCCCATTGAGGTATTTCCGAACCAATTCGACTTAGGGTCCTTCAAGAAAAGAGCGTACCGATTCCTGAAAGGCCGGCAACGCACTCGCGAGCCCTCTGGCATTGAGAGTGTCCATGGGCGGCGGTATCACTTAACATCAGGTGAGCCTCCTGCCCGTTTGCCCTGTTTTATAAAAAAAAAATACAAAAAAAAAGTTTTTTGTTTCAAGTATATTTTTACTAATAGTCTTAATTTTTTTAAATATTTTTTTTGTATTAATTTCTATTAGGTAAATAAAAATTTCGACTTCGTTTACCCGAATTATCATCATAGGGTTCTTGCTTCATGGATCGGGGTAAATGTGAGAGATGCGGATGTTTCTGTGCGGCGTGCGACGCTAAGCTATCTCGCGACCAACAAAGCTCCCCACACTCGCTGCACTCTATAGGCGAATCGCCGCCGTGTATCTGAAAATAAATCGATATTAATAATATTAATCTTGATTGAAAATTTCAAATTTCCTTAAAACCATTTCTTTCACAGAAACCAAAAAATATATGAAAACTTTTTATTGTCACAAATCAGTAAGAACAATTTTTAAAAATTGTTAGTCCTATATTAGCTATTAATTTCCTTTCATTTTTATTGCACATCTTTTTGTAATTTTAACTCTTTGGAAAAGTCTCAATGATACGAGTCAAGTATTGCGGTCAAGCATAAAATAGTAATTGATAAAAAAAAAGAATAAAACCAACCCTAGAATGCGATTGCAAAGCTTTCTCTCTTGCGAATCCGACTCCACACGTTCTACACACAAAGGGCCTAGCAGGGTCAGCGGGTGGCGGTAGGGGGAGAGGGAGGGAGATGGGGGCGGTGAGGGAGAAGGTGGAGGTGATGGAGAGGGGGCGGGGGAGGGGGCCCTGGGGGGTGTACGCCCGCGACGGGACCACTGTTGCGTACGCGCTGACGTCATATTCACGTCCGGAACGCCGTTCTGAAATTATATATATGTGTTCTGTCTTAGTAGTTGATGAAACTGCATAGTTAAACTGCGAGTGTTTTAATATACAGTTATGTACTTTAACGCTTAAAATATCATTTTTACACATAGGTAAAACAATGTACACATCAATAAAATTCATTTACTGGCAGTTCTCAAATCAGGACAACAGAACGGCTATAATCTGGACAACTACTTTTATTTTTTAAATAAGGCAAATACGCAGGATTAAATGAATGTAATAAAAGTCAATTCAAAAATCAACCCACTAATAAATGATGGCATTGACCCACTTCTACGTCTATATATTTCATAATTTTAATTTATAAGTAAAGAAGTGATCATTCCATTGTCTGAAACTGGATATTAATGATGTGCCAGGAATGACACAATGAGTGAGTGAATACATCAAGTATAACCACTATTATGTTTCTATTTGTTACAGCTTTCTAATCATGAAAATAGTGATTATTTAGACAATTTAAGACAATTACATAAAAACCGTCCTAGTGTATTTTGATTGGCGTGTTTACTTACTGCTTCAGGTTTTTTTTTCCGTCTGCCTCTTTTCTTTTTTGGCTTAAGAAGTGGACTCTCTGGCAATTCTTCATCTGAAACAAAGAAAAGCCAATAAGTGTTATATTAATATTATCTATTGTTTTTTCATGTCATTATTCTGTTTTATAATTGAAATGTTCATGAGATGAAGGGTTAAAGAATACTTTCTTTTATTCTTTTAATTTATTATACAATAATGTGATGTGTAAATTACATATTAAGGGCTTACAATAATTTCACTGCCACTTTATTATAGAATATTTATTTGCACATTAGGGAGCGTTCAAGTATTACGTCACGCAATTTTTGGAGATAATTGACCCCTCTACCCCTATGTAAAGCGCCGTAACGTTTTTCTGTACCCAATAGTAAAACGTTTCGTGACCACCCAGTGACTCTTTATACCTAAAAGTTACCATTGTGTGGTGTAAAGTACCGGAAAGTCGAAAATAATATTAACAATAACGCGTGATTCAATCCTCGCCCCGCATCGTAACGTTTTACAACAGGAAAAAAAATTCGTTACTTGAACGCTCCCTTATACAGACAATTTTTTTAATGATAGTTGATCTAATAAACCCTAAACTCAATTAATTTAACTTTGCATAAAATTGCTTTCCTAAATTGAAAAACAAGAAAACCAAACTATCTTCCTATCCCTTGATTTGTATGGCTCTTAGTATGTACAACACATTTTTAAAATTATTTGAGTAATATTTACACAATTCAATAAGTAATGATGCTATCTTCTATGCTTATAGATCAGTTATCTACATTTCCCTCATATTGTCAGACATTGTCAATATAACAATGCTGGTTTTGTTGATGAAAATATATTTAATGACTGCAAAGTGCAAGTATTAAAAGCACGAACAGTGTAATATGTAATATGTTATAGAGTCAATGACTCTGATGAATCTATTCATATAGATTTTTTGGATTATGATTTTGATTATTCTGAATAAAGATGTGTTTTATAATAAATAGTTTTATTTTTCCATGCAATGCTAGTTAATTTAAGTATCAATAGTAAGACTAAATACGTTACTATCAATGTAAAAAATAATAAAATAAAATCAAGTATCAAGTAAGTTTAATCCACAAAATATATCAAACTTTTAGGGATACCATACTAATTTTTTTTTGTATTTGCCGCGCTTTTTCGTTATCTTCTTTCATTAGCTAGACTCTAATAGTTATAAGACTCGTTTTATTTTTAATATGATTTAATAATAAATACTTTAAAACCAATGATTTTAAACTTACCACTGGGATACTCCTGAACAATATGCTCAGTTGCTTCTGGTATAAAAGCATGGACCTTGAAGTGGTTCATAAGATCACACTTGCGTACATATCGAACACCACAAAGGTTACATGCATGTGGTCTATCATTCTGATGCGCCACCATATGGTTCATAAGAGCTGCTTTCTTTCTAAATCTCCGGGAACAAAAATCACATGGAAACGGTCGCATTGCTGTGTATTCATCCTGAAATTAAATATACTTGCATTTCAATGTGTTGATCAATTGGCAAGAGTTCTTTGTTATTGTCGCATATTTGTTAATATTTGAATTTTAAACTTAAAAACCATATAAATCTGTACCTGGTCTGTTGGTAAAGGCACATCAATATCATTTTCTATTTTTATGTCTTGTGCTGGATCCATTAACTGTTCAAAAGGCACCTCTACTCTGTAAAATAAGTTTTTTTACTTATTATTATTAATTTAAGACAAAGACTTATATAATCAAATATAATTCTCAGTAGTATGTTGAACTGTTTCATTTGATATTACAGTGTTTAAAAGAAAAACATAACATGTAAATATAAATATTTTACACTGAAAAAACTATTGTTTATAGATATTTTTTATCTAAAAAAAAAGTAATTTTCATATATAAAAAAAGTAATTTTCACATTTAAACACTTTAAATACACTCAGTCCTATATTTTCTGTAAGAAGTTTGACATATTTGACAGCGCTCGAGTTGAGATTATGGCTTGAGATATGAATTAGAATATGGACCTTGATTAGACAATATTTTTTGCTTAGGGAGTTTTTTAAAGGTGTTCACACACACACTCTTCTTTCTTACAGTAATTACATATATGTTTTGGCGAGTTGTTTTTATGTAATGGTAAAATAGACATAATACTGACTAAACTGTCTGGATATTGTAATAAATTTATCACTTTTTCCAGATATAGTTCATGGCAGCTATAACTTAATCACTAATATTGGCAACCAAGAATTAAAGCACTACTTTATTGTTTTCAAACTAAAACAGTATATGTCACCAAAATAAAAATATCACCCAACTTATTAAAATAAATAGTATTTCTTATTACTGTAAAAACTTCCTAACAAAGTGGTGAATCTAAAAACTTGTCTTGTTATTCTTTGCCAAATTTTACTATATCTAAACCATATAAATATGTACATATTACAATTGCTAGTTAATGTATATAAAATCTAGATTTTAACTCAGAATTGCACTGTTATATCTTAATTTTATAGGGTATACAACATGTATAACATGACATGCATATTTTATTACCTTTCCTGTCCACCAGTAATAACCCAGTCATCAGTAATAACTTCTTCAGTGACACATTCAACACTAGGATCGGCTACTATATCAGCGGAGTCAGTGTAAGTTACAACATCTTGAGATAAATACATTAAATTCTCTGCAGCTATATTATCAGCATTATTTATAAGTTCTTCTGTTGTCTGTAGGCAAAAATTTAAAGTAAGTATTTTTTAATACACAGAAAATAGCTATGACTAATTTTCTTTAAAAATTACCATGCTGGAATATGGTACTGTCTGTACATTATCCAACCCACATATTACTTCTTCAGACACTTCAGTTTTGGGCTAAAACATATCTTTCCATTATTACCACAATTTACAATATTTTATGAAGAAAGGTATTTTTTTAGATATGGTTGTACTTTGATAATAATGTACTAGTTTTACTCAATAATGATGTACATACTACATAGGAACTTAGCTAATATATTATTCATTTTCATGTTTATAAAACTTAAACATAATAATTAGATTTAATATTAAAATTACATTTTTACAAACAATAACATTATATGTATACATACTTTAACCTCGGACTCCCAATGGAGCTGAAATTCTTCCCCCTCCATGATTTGGATAAAAACCTTATTTATTTTTAATCATAACTATTATCCATACTTTGAAGGATATGTAAATATATTGCCTTGGATCCAGATTGTGTTAATTTTTTACAAGTAATCAAGTCAAATTTCGGTGTTTAGTCATTATTGTTTGTTTTCTATCATTCAATCCTAAGGGCTGAAAATGTTAAATTTAGAGGTTATTTATTTGTTTACATACACATAACCCCCTATTCTACAAAACATTATTTTAAATTAACTTCATGAATAAAAATCTTATGATATCGTTACATCTATGTCGTGATAAGATAACACGAAATATCTTTGTATTAGCCTGCCAGTTCAGCTTCAAGAAATTGAGGATTTTGATCATTCTTCATAACATCAACATAACCTAATTAAATTATATTATTACAACGAACTTCACTCAAAAACGCTTCAGGTAATTTAAAGAAATCTCTAGTCTTAAATTGTGTGCATATGATTAGATATGATTAATGGCGTAACAAAAATGGTGTCGAGAATTGAAAGTGAATAGGTTATTAGTTATTGTCAAAATAAAGGTTAACTCATCCACACATAATGTATATTATAAATTTTATACTAAATTGAATAAATTGCTGATATTGAAGGATATTATAAAACGTACCTGATATAAGTTAATACGATCTAGATACAAGTACGGCCTTACATGACGCAATCACATTACTTGATAACTCTTTTACAGAATGAAAACAAAAAGATAACCAACATTTTTCGGAGTTGGAACTGTTAATGTTAAAGTTTTGCAGGAAAATATATCCAAAAGAAGTTTTTAATGTATGTATTACTAAGAAAATGCGTTGAATTTTATACAAATTCTTTAATTTAGCAAATGGCTATATTAAAATTTTACCAGCCATTAGCACAGATAAAAAATTAAAGTGTTTTTTTTTTTAATCTGTAGCGACTACAGTGTAGTCTACATTAGCCTTATGTACCAAATCACCTGAGGAAAACTGGGCCCTTAGTCAAGATGCCTTAACAGTAGTGTATGTAGAAAGTTTAGTAACAAATTTAGTTTTCGACTTTCTACATACACTACTGTTGAGGCATCTTGACTCAGCCCCCTTGTGTTTTTCTATTACATAGTCTGGGGTTTGATTAACGTCTAACGAAGTAACGAATTTATATAGAAATAATCACGTGGGCTAATGTCATTCCTATAAAAATACGTTTAGCGTTAGTAGATAGGTTACACCTGTCGAAGAATAATTTTGTCTCAGGCCCCTGAAATATCAATACTACTTTAAAATGCTTAAAGCCTAGAAAGTAATAATCATAATTCTTATTAAAAACACAAAATACTTCAAAAGAGTTTGCTTCCCAGTTCTTATAACCCCTCAAGAAGATATCAGGGGCCTTAGTCAAGATGCCTTAACAGTAGTGTATGTAGAAAGTCGAAAACTTAATTTGTATGGAAATGACAGTTCGTGTCGAAAAGTTTTCATACAAATTTAGTTTTCGACTTTCTACATACACTACTGTTAAGGCATCTTGACTAAGGCCCCATTTCCTTTTTCCTTATGCCACCAAAAGTCATCACAGAGCAGGCATATGATTGAGCAGAAGTGACAGAACGTCACATACTCTAATTTCAGACAAAATTTAATTTTTACTCACTACTACTAGAGGAGTCTTTTTCATGATAATAACACAGCTTATCATAATTCAGAAGAAAATTTAAAAATATACTTTGTAAACATATAACTCTTTTGTGAGTATACTGAAGCATATTTAACTAATAGACGAATAAAAATTTAGCAATGAATCAAGAGTTAAATGAATTGTGCCACTTATTATTCCCCAATTCCACGTCAGGTAAGATAACTTTACACCCTCAAAGATTCAAACACAATTTCTATGTGTAATTATTGACTTCTAATATAAATTAATATTTTATTGTAGAAAATGCAGACTATTTTAACGATATATCTGATTATATTAGGAAAATGGGTTCTCAGAATTGGGAACAAATATCAAAAGAGCCCGAACGCCTGAGTGATGAAATGCGACATTTGACTGAACAGACACAAGAGTTGGCTTTTACGAATTATAAAACTTTCGTCGAGACGGCTGAGATATCTAGAACTATAAGAAAAGATCTGGACAAGTCAAAAGACTCTCTTGATACTTTTTTTAGAAACATCACCTCAGTTTGTTGAGGAATGTGAAAATTTCTCACGGATAGCACATGATATTGTTCAAGATAAAAAGTAAGCATATTGCTTATGCAAGTTGTGAATTAAAGCAATTGATTTATTGAAATAATGTTGAACTGAGCACTGAATTTCTTACTCATAATAATATATTCCTATGGCTCTTTTTTGTTTAGCTGCTTAAATCTTTCTTAATTTCTAGACTAGTAAAAAAAAGGGTGCGTATACTTATGTACGCGCGTAAGAAATTATACTTCTTTGGCTTTCTATATTTTTTTTTAAATATTAAATAAATAATAATAAATATTTAACGTTAATAATTTAATATATTATTCAATTATTAATTAATAATAATAATTATTATATTATTCATTCAATTTAATAACTAGGTATGTTTCATAACCTTTTAACTAAGTAACAATATGTCTTTGTGAAAAAGCATTGCTAAATTTCTTTGAAAAAATAATTAACTCGTTTATTTGTTTAAAAGGTTTTACTACAAAGGTCATTATGGTCATTCAAAATTCTTAGCATAGCTGGTAACTTCACGCATATTCTATTTCTTTTTACTTGTAGATTGTATTATTTCCATCTCGCTCGCGCACGCTCGGCGCCCGGCTGGTTTAAAAAGAATTCGTTAGTGGGCAACTTCATACTGATAATTTTGTGTCACGGTGCGCGCGCATCGTAAAATTTCACACTCATAAATTTTTCATAAAAGAAGTATACCATCAATAAATGTATTCTTTATTTTTTGAACTCTAGGCAATACAGTAATGTTAGAAACCAGAGTGATAAGCTACTAGAACTTCTGGAATTACCTGCGCTTATGAGGGAAGCATTAAACTCTGAAGACTATGAAAGTGCACTAGATATTTTCACTTTTGTACGCAATTTATCTAAAAGATATTCTAAAATACCCATAGTGCAGGTAAGACAATTTGTATATATATACCTATATCATGTGTATTTTCAAATAAATTTGTAATAAAGTAGTTCATACTTTTTACAGAATACAGCATCTGAAATTATGACCTTATGGTATGAAACCTTGTACCATTTATTTAATCAGCTCCATTATGACTTACCGCTGCCTCAATGTTTACAAGTAAGTACATAATATTATTAATCAATCTGGGTAATATTCCACCGGTAAGCCTATATAAATGTTATCAAATGTTTTACTCTGTTTTAGATACTTGGATATTTACGTCGAGCATACATAGTGTTTAAATCAACTGAAGAAGATAATTATTCAGCTGGAAGCAAAAATGCAGCATCAGATGGTTTACACCTACATTTTCTTAAAGCCAGAAATGCATGGTTTGAAAAAGCTCTTGAAGATGCTAAGACAACTGAATGTATGTAAAAATGTAATTGGTAACATATTTTTCCTAGATATAGAATTTAGGTAAAATTAGTTACTGATCAATCATAAAACATTTAATTAGTTAATATATTTTATTAATTATATTTTTTCAGCACCTGAGAGGTTACTGAGGAGGATTGTGGAGTTACACAGAATACATCTTTTTAATGTATTAACGCAACATAAGTCAATTTTTTTGTCAGATTCTCAAGAGTCTAAAGTAAGGGATGATGAGCTAAGTGGCACTAGTGCATTGTCTTGTTGGTTAAAACAGAAGGTAATGTTTTAGTGATTCTCCGTACAATTTATATGTTAGGTATTAAGGGTTAGGGTAGAAGGACTCCTTTCTCCGCAATTAGACTCGTGGTTGGTCCGTTGTGCGTATATGTTAGGTATTAAGTAAAAATAGTGAATATTTTTACTTAACCAACTAACCAAAGAACTAGAAAAACAGAAAATTGTATATACGTTTGATTACCAAAATCCTGCTATGTGTACAGCATTCAAACAATAAATTGTGAAAACTTAACGTATGCGATCACCTTTGAAGGTAAACATTTTAAATTTCAATGAAGATGAATTTTTTTATCTAATTTTATTAAATTTCTTACAGGTCGAACAATTAGCAAAAACATTGAACCAATATATTTATAAAGAAGATGAGTCAAGTTTTGAATCCCTTTTGAATCAGTGCATGTATTTATGTTTATCATTTGGTAGAGTTGGAGCTGATTTGAGATGTGTATTAACGCCATTATTCAGAAACAGTGTTATTTCACAATTCACATGTGGTTTAGAAAAGGTTGATTTTAATTTTGAACAACAAATGAAGTCATACAAAGTGGCCAGTATTAAAAATATTGCAAGACCAATAAATGAAAACATGCAGTCTGGCCCTCCAGAAATTTTACTAGATTACTATCCATTAGCTGAATACTGTAATGGATTGTTGAATGTTCTCAATTCAATCAGAGTAACAGCCCCCTTAAATATAGTCAAGGATGTGTATAATGCATTTAAAAAATCACTTGAACAGGCTGTTCAAATTCTTATTGCATTTTACCATAGAGAACAGCAGACATTCACTGACATTGAAAGGCAGAATTATATGTCATTTTGTGCCTGCTTTACTGAAGATTTAGTTCCCTATATTACAAAATGTTTATCGACTTCATTCCCACCATCTCTAATAGCTGAAATGCTTGGTGTTACACTTACTGTTCTTCAGGAAAGTAAAATATTACATATAGATCAAGATAAACTATCTCAACCTTTAAGTGGGATTACAATCACTGTAATGTAATAAATATATTTTGTTTTAGATATCTAATTTATAATGGAAGAATTTAAAAAAAAACAAGACTACTAATAAAATGTAATATATTTAAAATAAAGCCATTGTATAATTTTGTTGAAAGTATACAAGGTCCAATAAAATATAC